CCGCGGGGCCACCAGCCCTGGCATGCCTGCCCCTGGCAGCCCCAGTTTGAGCCACCGCCAGATGATGGGTTCACCAGGCACTGGTTTCCATGGTAATATGGTCTCCAGCCCCCAGAGCAGTGCTGTGACCACTCCAGGGAGCCCCAGCCTGGGCCGGCACCCAGCAGGGACCCACCAGGTGTCAGGTCCCCACAGCACTGTAGCTACCACTCCAGGGAGCCCCAGCTTAGGCCGGCACCCTGGGGCCCACCAAGGCAATCTGGCCTCTGGTCTCCATGGCAATGCCATAGCCAGCCCTGGAAGTCCCAGCCTAGGCCGTCACCTGGGAGGGTCTGGATCTGTGGTTCCCGGCAGCCCCAGCTTGGACCGGCATGTGGCCTATGGCGGCTACTCCACCCCCGAGGACCGGAGACCCACATTATCTCGGCAGAGCAGTGCCTCTGGCTACCAGGCTCCTTCCACGCCCTCCTTCCCTGTCTCCCCTGCCTACTACCCCGGCCTGAGCAGCCCTGCCACCTCCCCCTCACCGGATTCAGCAGCCTTCCGGCAAGGGAGTCCAACACCGGCCTTGCCAGAGAAGCGGAGGATGTCTGTGGGAGACCGAGCAGGCAGCCTCCCCAACTACGCCACCGTCAATGGGAAGGTGTCCTCCTCACCTGTCGCCAGCGGCATGTCCAGTCCCAGCGGGGGCAGCACTGTCTCTTTCTCTCACACCCTGCCTGACTTCTCCAAGTACTCCATGCCAGGTGGGCTTTTCCCCTTGCACTTCCTCCTCCCCTGCAGACGGGTGTGTCCAAGAGTTAGGGTTCCCGTCCCCATCTCTGTGCTGACAGTCCCTTGGCAGGGGACCTCAGGTGAATCACTGACTTCTGGGCCTCAGTTTCCTCACCTGTGTAATGAGAGTTGGGGTGTCTTCAAAATAAGTGTGTTAGGCTTGCGGGTACTGCGATGAAGATGCAGATGATGATGAAATAGCAGTGGTGGATAGATACTGTACGATGTCGTCACTGTCATCGCCACAGCCACTTGTCGAGCACATTCTGTGTCCCAGACTCTGAGCTAAGCACTATCTCATTGGATCCGCACTGTTACCTGGCCAAGTAGGTATTGTTACCCCATTTTACAGATGAGCAAACTGAGGCTTACTGGGGCTCCGTCATGTGTCCAGTTAATGGAAGAGCCAGACTTCCTTCCATTCCAGGCCTATATGATCCCCAGAGCAGTGTTCTTCAAGCATTATTGGAATAGTTTTTATCATGTGTCCATATCTCGAGGGTTCTTACGATTTAGCATAACCTTGAAAACATGCCTTCCAAATGTCCATACTGTTTGCCAGGCCCATGGTACACTCATCACTTATAATAGATCTGCCAGATGTGACATGGGCCAAGGCCAAGGCTTGGGCCTTTTCTGGAGTCTAGTTTCTACAGACCTGGCTTCCTGAAGGCCGTGCAGTTTTGCACAGAGCACTCTTCACTCATCACCAGAACTTGGCACATTGGCCTCCATTTAGAGCTCAGCATCTAAACACAAGGTGTAGGCCTCATCTGACCTGAAGCGTCTCAGCCAGACCTTGAACCTGACTGTGTGCAGAGAGACTCTAGGGCCCTGGCTGTTCAAGGCAGATCTGGAATGTTCCAGGCAGCCTGGTATAGGCCCTAGTGTCCCTCTCTGTGTCACTCCCAGGTCCAGCCTAGAGCTTTTCAAGCCACGACACCTAGGGTGACCCCACACCCCCTGCTTCCTGCCGCCCACTAGGGACATCTGGTTCCCAGCTATGCCTCCTTGAGGATGCAGAACTTCTAGTAGTTGGGACACTTCCTGTTTCCCACCATCTTCCCTGCTTAAAATAGCCTTTGGAGTCAACACAGGAAGGCACATGGGACTGCAGCCGCTTCTGACAGCTCATTAAACAGGCCACAGCAGCGGAGGCTGGGGCTGCAGGCAGAGATGCCCTGTGCAGCAGTTGCATGGTCCAGCAGCCTAGCCCAGAGACTAGACTAGCTGTTCAGCACACAGCTGCCAGGGCCCCCAGAGACAGAACCCAGAAGCCAGAGGGGTATAAATCACAAGGTGAAGTTGACTAAGCCCTGGAGATCTAACCCTCACCTCCTAGTCTGCTCCCTTCATGTGATAGCATCTTTAACCCAGGCTCCCGTCTACGATAGTCTCTGAAAACAAGTGGAAAATTTGGAATTGAAATATTCCTTCCTTTTCCTCCTAATCTCCCCCACCCACATTTCTTTTTGTTTTCTTTGATGTCAAAGATGAAAGATGAGTTGGAGAGTGTGGGCCACATACCCTAATACTTAGAAGGAAGAACTGGTATAGCTGGTGCCGAACTGGCTGGGGGGGGGGTGTTCATACCTGGGAGGGCCTTTCTCTTTTCCATCTGTGACTTGGCCAAGTCACTTTCCCTCTGAGCCTGTTTTTTATTTGTAAAATTATTTCCTATGCAGTTTTGGATAGAAAAAACATGTCATGACTTTTCCAATGACCCAATAAGTGGTTGGACTCTGTCTTTCTAAGCTCCTTCCAGAATCAGATGTTCTGTGAAAGATTCCATGGCCTACACAGGATCTGGGCAGTGGACGTCATCTGAGAAGGGAGATGTGGGACGTGCAGTTGATGGCCTTTAGAGTCTAGGCTAGGCCTTCACCTATTTGTCCCCACGTCGGAGTGATTTTTTTACTTTCTGTGTTGTAGAACATGGGCTTTTCATCTGGGAAATGAGGACAGGACTGGAGACAAGTGGGCAGAAATGATCTTGCTGATCTTGTCCTCATGGTTGTTATGCTAAGTCACGAAATGGAGCCTGTGGGAGAGAAGCTGCAGGAGGCACTTAGTCAGAATGTTCCAGGGAAAGGGAGCTAGAGTGGAAGAAGGGCTTGTGGTTGGCTTCGTGAGAATGTGGGGCCAGGCAAGAGGAATGCGTTCTTTCACAGTTACTTGAAGTCCAAATTCAAGGTATCGGCAGGGTTGGTTCCTTCTGCCCAGAACCTGTTTCCCAATAAGGTCACATTCACAGGGAATGAGGGGCTTCTAGGTCACAAAACCCTCAATATTTGAGGCGAGGGGCACAGTTCAACACTTAACACTTGCTTTTCCTGTTTATTCCTTTAGACAATAGCCCGGAGACACGGGCTAAAGTGAAGTTTGTCCAGGATACTTCCAAGTATTGGTACAAGCCTGAGATCTCCAGGGAGCAGGGTGAGTGCTGGGCTCATGGCCCACCAGAGGACACCACTGGCTGCTGCCCATCTGTTTCTGGGAAGGAGGAGAAGCAAGAACTTCAGCTTTCGTCTTAGTAGTAGATGGTGGTCCTAGAGATGGGGCTGGGATCAAAGTCAGCCGTCAAAGTAAGATGCATCTCCCACAGCAAAGCATGTGATCGCAGAAGCAGTGGTTGTAGACGCCCCCTGGGAGGGTCTTTAAAGGCAGCAAAATCTCGATTTTCCTTGGTAAAACGAGAGATCAGCCAAGATAATGACTCCTTATCGCTCTATCTGCATCTCCATCTGTGGGAGATCCTTGCACTTTACAGAAACAACCAAACACAGCTGGGAGGAAGAAATGAAGATCAAGTCCATTTTAGCTCTTAGGGAAAGCCTACGAATGTAGTAACCACAGCCTGCAGGTCCATCTAGGCTGCTGCCTATTTTGTAAATAAAGTTTTAATGGAACACAACCACACCTGTTGGTTTGTGACAACAATATGTGGTTGCTTTCATGCTCAATGGCAGAACTGAATAATTGAAACAGAGGCTACATGACTTGCAGTGCCTTAAGATATCTACTTTCTGGCCATGTGCAGAAAATGTTAGCTGACCCTAGTAGAGGAGGACTCTTCGGAGTGTTTAAACTGTAACTTTAAAGATGAATGTCATTCCACCCAAGAAAGAATGAAGTTCTGTAGGCCTAATGGGACCTAAGTGAAGCTAGTCCCATCAATTTCTTGTTTTTTTCTTCTCTCCTCATCCCTCTCAATTCAGCCATTGCACTCTTGAAGGATCAGGAGCCAGGGGCCTTCATTATCCGTGACAGTCACTCCTTCCGAGGGGCCTATGGGCTGGCTATGAAGGTGTCTTCTCCTCCTCCAACTATCATGCAGCAGAATAAAAAAGGTAACACCATCTCATAGAATGGGACCTCAGGACTGGGTTATCTATATGTCTCTTTAAGCCCTCAGGGCTGGTAGGACCCAGCGTGCTGACCAGGAGCTGGTCTCTGCTAAAATCAGACTCTTCAGAAGAGCTAGTCTAGGGCTTGGTGATGGTCATGATCTGACAACAGGGTTTCTGTGATTGTGTTTCCTTGAGGGGTGGGAGAGGAATGATGGTCTCTATTCCTCAGGGTTCCAACCATACTATCTCTATGGCCTTTTTTCCCATCCTAACTCTGCATGTTTGAGAAGTCATGGGAGGTGTGGGAGGAAACCATGAGCAATGAAACGTGTGTGGTTGTGTTCCAATAAAACTTTATTTATAACCACTCCTCATTTTTTTTCCTCTTCCTCCTAGGAGACATGACCCATGAGCTGGTTAGGCATTTCCTCATAGAGACTGGCCCCAGAGGAGTCAAGCTCAAGGGGTGCCCCAATGAGCCAAACTTTGGTGAGCCATCACCCTGTCTCTGTCTCTTCAGCCTGGTCACAGAGTCCAGCCTTGTCCTGGGTCCCTCCAGGGTTCTGACCCAAAGTTCTTTCTGTCATAAGCTCTGCCAGTTCCACTTGTCATAGACTCAGCAGAAAAAAATAAACAATAGCTTCCCTTTCTCTGTGCTGTGGCTCCTTAACTCTGCAAATTCCTTTCTATATTTGTCCTATCCAACTGAGACTTATCATTATAATTTGAATAGCAGCTGTAACAATAGCTGCCTTTATTGACCCCCTACTATGTGGAAGTCACCATCTAGGTACCCTGTATTATTTTTGGTCTCACGATAGCCCTGTATGGTAGGTGTTGTTGCTCCTATTTTACACTTGAGGAAACAGGTTCATCATTAGATTTACCCAGGAATGTACGAATAGTAAGGGACTAACTTGACATTTGATATCCCAGTCCTCTGATCCTTCTATTGCACTGTTAGAGAGGAACTCCAATAACTGCAGGGATTAAGTAGAGATATTAGGAAGAATTTTCATACAGGAAAGTTAGTAGGTAACACTTTTATCTGCTAGAGGGAGCCTTGGAACTTACTACAAAAGAGGGCTTTAATTTTTAGCTTTAGTGGTGGGATGAAGGACAAGTCATAAAGAAGCCAAAGAGTATAGTGGGATGAGATCGAGTTTCCTCACTACCTTTGACCCCGCTCCTGGCTTCCAATAACACTGCCCCTAATGTGCTGTCTCCCTCCCTGCAGGATCTCTGTCTGCCCTGGTCTACCAGCACTCCATCATCCCATTGGCTCTGCCTTGCAAGCTGGTCATTCCAAACCGAGGTAGGATGTGAGACTCTGCTCACCAAGTGCTCCCTTAAGCTGGCCTCCTTCATTTCTCTGCTGGTCAATCTAGAACATGAGCCAGGGTTGGAGGACATGAATCACTTTGCCAATCTGGTGAAACCAAAAATCATTCTCATTTTTTTTTCCTGTTGAAAAAGAAGGCAAAATTAATTTAAAATCTTAACTTCAGGAACATACATAAATTGTCTTGCCAGATTGTTCTAGAAAATTCTCTGGAGGTGTCTAGAAATTCATACTGAATCCTTAGAATAAGGCTTATCCCAGAGGAGACATTAGGAAGTAGGGGACAGTGAAGAGAGGACCATGTTGTGGAGGGTGAGATGGGCACTGGTGGGAAGAGGAGGGGAAGGCAGGTGTTGATCATGGGCACCCAGGTGTCCCAGCGTTGGTTCAAATGGAGAGGTAAGAGCACTCGCTAGGGATCTTCTAGTGTGTGTAGCTGAGAAGCCAAGTCTTCTTTTGAGTGAGGCGAGTTTAGTAGAACCCAGGAGCAACGGGACATGTAGGATGAGAATTTGAGTAGGAGTTGGGCTGGTTAGACTTTAGCTTCTTTTACAGAGGTGTCTCAGCCCTGGAGGGGGTGGATGGACTCTCCAGACTGCTCACAACACAGGCCTCTATCACTTCCATAATACATAGGGCTCACCTGTGGGTGTGAGTGTCCGGCCACGAGTGCAAGGTGGGAGCTGAGAACTGGGATGCCTTCTCCCCACCCTCTCTGTTCAATAATAAGACACTCAGCAGTGCTCCCGGACTCCAGGGGTTATACTCACACATAAAACCTCCAACATTAGTCGACAGTTTCTGTGTATCCCAGTTCAAGTCATTGAATTATTAATTGTAACTGACCGACATTATTAACTTAGATGTTCAAATATAACTTAATAGCATTATTATCCACATAATTTAGATTCTAATTAAATGATATCATCATGGGATTTACCATAGTAGTTTGGCAATTAAAAAACTGATACTGGGCCAGCAGGTGGCATGGTGGTTAGGGTGCTGGACTCCCACATGACTGACTATGGAATGAGTTGCAGACCCAGTGTCTTGAAAATCATGCTGGGGTTGTATGCATGGTTGCCAAAGATCCCAAGAGGAGAATGGAGAAGGAATTGTGGCATGGCTAATTTTCCCTGGGGGTGGGTGGGTAATTTGTTACTTTCCCTCTCTTTGTCTCTCTCCAGGGAGCACTCATGCCCTAGGGGAAAAACCAAAAAACAAACAACAATAAGAACCTGATATAAGTTGTATGAACCACTGGTTCTCAAAGTATGGTGCCTAGCAACTTGTTAGAAATGCAAATATTCTCAAGTCTCAGCTAATCACAAACTCTGGGTTGGGCCTGGCAATCTCTCTGTGTGTTTTTTACTTGTTTGTGTGCTTTGTTGTTGTTGTTTTTTCATGACAGAGGGGTATTTTGTTGTTGTTTTTTAATTTACTATAGGGTGTATGCACTTGCCAGAGAGAGAAAAAGAGTGAGAAAGTACCTCTCACTGGGGATGGCCACAATGCAATCCCTTTCTCCTTTTGGGATTTTGGACACATATGCATGCTCCTGGTGTTTTTCAAGCCTCTGGGCCTGGGACTCAAACTGTGCAGTCAATGATGTGGGATCCAGCCATTTTAACGGCCACACTGCCTGGCTGGCCCAAGAGAGATGTTTTAGACAGGATCTCACCATGTTGAAATTCTCTGCCCTGCCTTCCTAGTTAGCCTGGATTACAGGTTACTATGCCTAGTCTGCTCAGGTTGGTTCAGGAACCCATTCTCAACTTCCTTCGAGGCCCCACACTTGTGTGGCGGTCCCCTCCCCCCATGCCACCATGGCTGGGCCGGCAATCCGTTTTTTTGTTAGTCTGAGCACCAGCATCTGAGAAACACTGGTAGAAACTCTGGTATATGCTCCATTCTTACGTTTTTCTGATTTTTTAAAAATTAGAGTATAATTGACAAGAAGTATGTTCTGCATGGTGTGCAACATGATGTTTTGATAAATGTATACATACATTGTGAAATGGTTAGATCACGCTGCTTAACATATTCATCACTCAGTTCTTACTAATATTAAAACAATAATTGTGTTGCATTAGTAGTTTAATGAATCAGGGCATTTATTGATCTATGCAAAGACATATCAATGCAGAACAACAATGACCATCCCAGTTCCCATTTGAGAATTTGCTTTATGCCAAGCACCGGGCTAAAAAATTGTACACAGAATGTTTCAGAAACCCAATGACATGGGCACCATTATCATTCTCAAATGCTGGAGTGAGGGCTTGAGCCCAGCTCTTCTGGACCCCAGCACACTCAGGCAGAGCTAAATACTTAGAGAAATCCCTAGCTGTTCATGCTGACTCTAACACAGTGCCCACTGCTAGGGCTTGTTAGGGAAAGGAGTGTCCATTGCTCCAAGTATTTGCAGAGCTCTCCTTAGGCCCAGCTAAACTTGTGCTTCTTTCCAGCTCTAGGGTTTGATTACAAGTTGAATTTTTATCTCAGATCCCACAGATGATTCAAAAGATAGCTCAGGTCCTGCCAACTCAACCACCGACCTGCTGAAGCAAGGGGCTGGTAAGTAGTCACTGGAGACTGGATCCCTGCCCGGGCCTTTATTTCTACATTCCTGCCCTATACCTTCCTTCAGGTGCAAGCTGCAAGTCCCTTCCAGACCAAATGTCTCTGGGCAGTTCACATTTCTATGTGTAGATGACTTAGCCCAAACCTGGCCTAAAATTGATCTCCTACCTTCTCCCTGAAGAGTGGACCTGGGATATTGTCCTTACCAACTCCAGCCCCCATGATTCCTCCTTGTGTTGATTTCTTCTAGCCTGCAACGTGCTCTTTGTGAACTCTGTGGACATGGAGTCACTCACTGGGCCACAGGCCATCTCCAAAGCCACATCTGAGACATTGGCTGCTGACCCCACGCCAGCTGCCACCATCGTTCACTTCAAGGTCTCTGCCCAGGGAATTACACTGACCGACAACCAGAGAAAGTAAGATTCTTCTACTTGTTTCTGTGTTGGACTCTTTCCTGTGACCAATTATCCACACATCTACCAATTTATTTATCCCCTGCTCCCATCTACCCACCTACCCACCCATCTATCTATCTTGTATCCATTGTCCATCTTCCCAGCAGCTCACACATCCACCCACCCACTTATCTATCCAATCATCCATCAATCCACCCACTCACCTATCCATCCGTTCATCCATCTATCTACCCATCCGTATAGCCAACTGCCCATCTATTTATCCATCTATTCATCCATCTATCCCCCACTCATTGACTTATCCACCCATCCATCTATCCATTTATCCATCCATCTATCCACATACTCGCCTGTCTATCCATCCATCCATCTATCCATCCATCCATCCATCCATCCTTCCATCCATCCATCTGTTCATCCATGTATCCACTTGCTCACTTGCCAATGATCCATCTGCCCACTTGCAACAATCCGTCTCATACCTACACTCCTTCACCCATATATCTCTTCATTCATCTCTGTCTCCATCCATCAATCTGCTCACCCTCCCATCCATCCTATAGATGTGCCTGAATTGGGTATACAGTTGTAAACAGAACTGATGAGACATGCCTCCTTTCTAGGAGCAGAGTCCTTGCTGAGCCTCTTGTCCAATGATACCCCCACCTCCCCTGGCAATTCTTATTCCTCAGTGCTAGGTTCTTCCCTCTCTCCCCAGACCCTAGCATCTGGGAGATGTTTCCATGCACTCCTTTCTATCCCTGTACAGACTTGGTCCCCGGTGTGAACAGCTGAGGCCTTCTTGCTCAAAAGCAAAAGGCTGTGTGGGCCCATGACAGCCACAGACAATGAAATGGGGACCTGACTTGCAGGTGGAAGGTGGAAAAAGGCAGTCACTCTATCCTTCATTCTCTGTTTATCTGGTGTCTGTACCACAGGCTCTTCTTCAGACGACACTATCCCCTCAACACTGTCACCTTCTGTGACCTGGACCCACAGGAAAGAAAGTAAGTCTCTTGTAGATAGCTTCCTCCCACCCAGCTCTAACTTTCCCACTGAAGTCTGTGTGAAAAAGCATGCATTTCTGTGCTCTTGGTTCAGTGACAGGGTCTCCCTGTGTCTGTCAGAGTGTGAATAATTGTGTCAGGCAGCTTTTTGAGCCTTTCTCACCATAACCCAGGGACCCAAATGGCCTTGACCCTGAAACTACTTCACTTCACCTTGGGAAGGGAAGATCACCTTGGTAGGTGGGCTACATTCTTCCCACCTTGAATGTATGGAGTCTCCTGCCCACTGGGAATGGGTCTCCTCTGCCTTCCCTAGGTCTGGACATGGATGGGGCTGGGCTCCTGGAGAGAAGATGTAGTGATTTATCTTGAGCTGTTTTTCTCTCCACAGGTGGATGAAAACAGAGGGAGGTGTCCCTGCTAAGTAAGTGTGTCACCTTCAACACCCACCCCCCGACCCCAGCTGGTCGGTTTTTGTACTCACTCCTTGGCAAGGGGAGTAGGGGGCAGATTTAGGAACCAGAGCCAGCAGGTTGGGAAAGGAAAACAAGGACCTTTGTGCCCAGGTTACTCTGTTTTGGAGACAGGCTTGAGCAGACAGTCAGACCTTCGTCTTCTGCCTCAAGGCCAATCGCCCAGACTCTAGTCCAGATTCCCTCCTTCTCCCAGGCTCAGAATGAGCAGGATCGAGCAAGAACAGAGAGCTTCATTAGAGGCAATGGGGTGGAGGGGCGGCAAATTCTGCTGCTTTTATTCCTGTCCTTGGTTTTTGGTGGGATTCTGTGAATCTTATGCCTGGGCCAGACCTCCTCATCAGAACAAGAGAGCCCAGAATGCTGGGATTCTGGGGATGATCCTGAAACTTTTGGTTAACTCTTTCCTCCATACAGCCTCTGAGGAACCTAGAGATTAACTGAGACACTGTATTTGAACTGTTCAGATTTGTACGAGACAGCCAGGCTTGCTGACAGTGGCCTGACTTTGGAACGCAGATTAAGCAAATGAACAAACAGCACTAAGATGTTTTAGTGATTTTCAAACTGTGGTCCAAGGAACCCTAGGATCCTTAGATTACAACTGAGATGTTCAGAAGAGAGAGAAAACCTGTTATTACTTGTAGTTTTATTATTAATATATACCTTTATCAATATCACAAAACCAAAACAAATATGGGAATAACGTGGAGTCTCATGCTGACGTAAGAGTGTCATTATGATCCATAATTCACATATCGTTTGTTGAGCTTATTTCAATAGCCCCATTGTCCTCACTGATAGACTTGTTACTAAGTAGATGTTAATCTTTTTGAGTTCATACATTTATATTCATAAAATATTCTTCAACCTATGTATATATTTGGACTTGGTGCAAAATTGCTGTAGAAAAAGAAAACTTCTACTGCTAAAAAAGAATGAAAACCACTGCCAAGTGAGACACAGCAAGAAAGACAATTGGGGAAATAATACACCTTTTAAAGTGGGTCTTAAAAGAGAAGTATAATTTAGACAGGTTTGTGGGCAGGAGAGAGGCTATTTCAGGGGGTGGCCATGCCACCACCTGTAGGCTCCCAACGGGCTGGGCCTGGGAGGGTAATAAATGAGAAAATAGAGTCAGGGAGGGTAGAGGAGTCAGGAGATGGTGACATAGAGGCCACCTAGTAGACAATGAATGGGACCCACCAGTAGTCTGATTCTACAGTGTTTTTTTTTCCCAGGGTCTCCAGACTTCTGCTGGGTTCATAGGTCATTGGGGTCTCCCAGTCCTGCATTTCCTGTGTCCCTGCCAAACAGCCAGGCAGGCCAGAGCTTGCAGGCAGGATGGGAGGGCAGTGTTGATGGCAGGCAGGAGCTGGCTTGGCCTCTGTTTGGCAGAAATGGGCAGCCAGGGCCAGCAGGGCACGTGGA